TGCACGCACTTGTGTTGATTGTCTCCTGGACAGCAAAGCCCATCTCTGGAGCTCCCTGCACTGCCAGACAACTTAGAGGAAACAGGTGACAGGGCCTTTGCAAGTGAGCTGACAGATTCAGTGTCAATAAGAGATCATGGCTGGTGCTTTGCTTCTATCCAACTTGTGGTTCCAAGAACCAGTTGTGCATCTGGCAGATTCAGGGTCTGATTTTAGTCCCATTACACTGGAATCTATTTGCAAAGTAGCTCAGAAAACAGAGGAGTGGAAGTTAACCCCATGCTGCACTTTTCTTTTACATTTGGAACTGCAGTTGTACACGTCTCCAGACTTACAAGGTTGTACTCTGGCATTAGCTCACTGATTTCTGAGTCTTACAAAAGCTCTTCTTATTGAGCCCGCACCACAGATTTACACTGCTGTAACTCCTGTCAGACATCGTCTCAGCTTTATGAATAAATAAAAGTATGCTCTGGGGAAACATTGATTTAAGAAGAAAAATCAATACTCATCTAGAATGCGACAGACCTGAGCTCCTTGCGTGTATCTTCAGGCGCAATATAGCTCTAAGTGTGAAGCTGTCCTTGCTTCCTAATAAGAGTGACAGCATGAATCGGACAGCAAATTGCAATCTGCTGCCCTCAGAATACCATCATTCTTCTTTTTTCTTTAAATGTAGTTGATGCTTCAGAAGGGGAAAGGTAAGGGAAAAGGGGGATGGATAAAACCACCGAGGCAAAACTTGTATTACTATGAATCACCTTGTGTGTATCTGAGGGATCACTGTGAAATTCTCCTGTGTTTGTGAATGCTTTTTACCATGAGATTTTTAAAAAGTATTAGAAACTCTGTAAGGCTCATGTCCACCGCATTGGTAATAATGGTACTCTCTGGGTAATGGACTCACCAAGAGACTTTTTCTTCAAAATTTTCCAACTATCTGCAGTGAATAGGCATATTGTTCTTATAATTTAGAATATAATAAGTATAGGGGAAGAGAGCCAAAAATAAAAGATTAATGAGATTGATTGCAAAGTATTTTGTTGACTGCTGGCCCAGAGATAGTCAAGATTTACTTATTTACTTTCTGGGCCAATCCTTTCTTGCTGCTCTTGGATGCTTATCAGGGCACAAACAGGTTGTTATTAAAATTGATTGCTTTTAAAAGTAAAGCTAACAGCTTACACTGAAATTAACCTCATGGTTGTGAACCAAAGACCAAACTTGAGACAAAAGCTGCCATCATTTCCCCAGCTCTGCCATCACCTCCCAACCAAAGCACATTTTCACAGTGGAAGCAGTCAGTTGTTAGAAGTTCTGATGTACCCTGCAGTAACCTTTGACTACAAAGGCACTCCAGAAAGCCTGGACTCTTGCCTACAATTAGTCTGAATTAAAAATGAATCCTATTATTTCCCCCTAGCTCATCAAAGATGTGGTTTATTACTGTGTTAACTGTGCCCTCTCATGAAACAGTGCTGCTTTGGATCGCGAGCCCATGCCTCCCTGGACAATACTAATTCTGTCTTCTCAGTGTTCAGGTGACATGAAAGAGCAACCTTGGACATGTGAAACACAATTTCAAAGCATATGCATGTTAGAAACCTGATAATGGGTTGTGGGCAATTTTAAATGTTGATCTCAAATTAAAACATCACAAAAGTGGCTAACATCATCAACAGAGCTGGTGAAGACACTGGCTGACTCTGCTTCCCAGATGGAATGGTACCCAATTCCAAGTTCAGAAAGGATGCAGCCATTACTTGAGCATTGATACCAGCAGAAGTGTGAAGAAACTTTAGAGAGGTTTGGGTGGTGCTTCCTCAACAAATGGATACTGAAGTCAAGAATAGAAAGCAAAGCACTATTGTTAAGTAAAAAACAAAATGCTTATGTGTAGGCATAGAAAAAGCACAGCTTGAGATCAATTTCTTTTCACAAATACTCTTTCTTTATTATGGTGTCAGATATTTTAATTTGAAGACATTAGAATGTGCCAGGCAGTTATTGGATGGTGAAGGTACAAGGTAAGATTAGAACCTTCCTTTTAAGTTCAGCATCTATAGAAAAAAAGGATATATATGTATAATTGAAACAGAATGTTATGAGAGATACAACTGAGGAATTGTAAGGAGCCCCACTATACCAGGAGGATCAGGAAGAGCTTCTTGTGGAGACAGAAATTGAGAAGGGTCTTGAAGGACTAGAATTAAGAAAGGGGCCAGAGCATTCTCAGAAGTAAAAACTATGCATAAAAAAGGGCATACAAAGAGGCCTGGTGTAGTGGAACACCCCAAGAAATAACTCCCAAAAAAGTAGGGGAAGGTACACTGGAGAAACACCCAGAGCTGGGTCACAGGGGTGATGTAAAGATGTCTGGGTTGCTTACAAAAGCACAGAAGTCACTGTGTGGGAAATCATGAGCGGGTTCGCAATGGGGAAGAGTGTTGGAAGAGAGCAACAGTAGTCAACTTCAGGCCTGACCTGTGCAGAGGTGATGAGGACCAGTGCCAAACCACTGATGGGTGAAGGTAGAGGAGAGGAAGGTCAAAGATACTAATGCAATGAACATTAGTGACAACAAACATGTGACCTCACTAAGTGCCAAGTCCTTGCTCCTGAAACTTTTGCATATTACCTCCAGTCCAGAATCTGGTGTGGATGAAGAAGAGGCAACATCAGAGAAGAAATTTCTAGCTTGAGTAAATGCGTCCACATGGGATGCCATTAATTGAAGTATTGATTCCAGGCAGAGCAATCAGTTGCAAGCAGAGGAGGAGGGAGTGAGGAGGGGAAAGACAATTTCACTGTATCCCTAGTAATTTGGAGAGCTACTTGGGACACATAAATAAGGATTAACAGATCACTAGGGACAGGAATTTAGTACAGTAGAGAGCAAACTGCAAATTCACACAAATTTTCAAAGAATGAGAAAAATATCTCAAGAGTAAAAGCCTAACAGTCTAACAGTCAGCTATGTACACAAAAGGAACAGAGTGCTTGATAAACACTGAGGAGCCTGTGAATATACTACAGAGGCATCTGATGCCTATTCCAAAATGCATAGATTCCTCAGTTAAATCTTAATGATCCCCTTGACTAGAAAATGTTCTGCTCTTTAGGCTACCACTAAAATGTGCAAGGCTAACTGCTCTCCTGGAAACAGAATGCATTAGAGAAACAATGTTTAATCCCTGAATTGCGATTCTTGTCAAATGTTGGGAGATCAGTGGAAGGCTTTTGTGGAGTATGGATGATCAAAGATCTTAATGCACTAATTCTTTAGCCTCAGTTAACTAATAAAAGGCAGGCTATTTTCCAGGATCTGCAGTTATGTTTGGAAGGACCCAAGCCTGATTGGGGAAATGAAAGTGACCCTGAAATAGCTCCCAGCTGATCTAAGAGCAAAGAGTTAACTCTGAATTTCTCAACAAGTGAGAGGAAAGATTTAATTAAAAGACAGTGGCCTATTTTACCAGCTTCACTCTATGAAGAGATTGGAAAAATACAGACCAGATGGACCCCTTCGTCTGTGAACGCAGAGGAACTGGATAATGGTATGGAATGGATACAGGTCAGACAGGCCAGGGCACTTGAGATTTCTAAATCTTTTAAATGGGACAGACTTGACACTTCAAAATTCAAGATTTATTTAAAGGCGTGATAATCTTGTAGTAATCTAATTGCTAAAGTCAAATATAGAATGTCTTTGTGTTAACTTGTCATTTGCTCAGGCTCAATGATTTAATTCTGGATTTGATTCTGTTAACAGCCTGGTATATGTCATTAAGGAATTTCTGATATACCTGCAATCAGCACTAATAATGATGACAGTAAATGCAGCCTTCTATTTTTGATAATGGAGATGGGTGGGGAATGCCGTGCATTCTATTCATCTTTCCACCAGGCTCAAAAGGCTGTGTGTTGGTCAGCATTCTGTTCTCAAAGACTGAGGGGGAGAATAGGACTTGCTAAGCTTCACAGAGGTCTGGAAAATCAGAGCCTGGTTAAGCCTGTCATTGACCAGAGAGAAGTATCATGTGCTTACTGGTGTCTTGGTCTCTACTGTGGTTTGGGTGGGAAATATTCCTTGAAGGCTCATGTGCTGAGAGCTTGGTCAACAGCTGGTGGAGCTTTGGAGAGGTGACTGAATTACAAGGGCTCAAATTCCACCAATGGATTAACCCAGTGATGATTTCATGTTGAATGGGCTATTGGGAGGTGGGTATAAGTAAAGGAAGTATGCTACTGGGGGCGTGCCTCTGAAGGTATACCTAGTCCCTACACTCTTCTTTTCTACCTCTGCTTCTTGACTGCCAGAAGGTTGCAGCCTTGCTGCCCCCAACTCCTTTGGTCAAAATATTTTGCCTCACTTTGGGCCCTAAAACAATGTAGCTGGCTGATTCTGCACTGAAAACTAAAACTATGAGCCAAAACAAATCCTCCTCTCTTTAAACTCTCTCAGCTGTGTTACAGCAACACAAAACTGACTAGCAGTTTCTGTGGCAGAGCACTCACCGTGTTACGTTCAAAATGGGATGAGCTCATGCCTTGAAGCTGTGTTTCTACAGACCCACAACTCAAGGTCCCTAAGTAAACAACTGACATCTATATGCAAAGTTAGGCTAGAAGCAAACTTAAATAATAAACAATAAAGCAATGGTAGAGAGGGCAACATGAAGTAAGCTTGGGGCTGGAGAGATAGCTCTGTGGTTAAGAGTACTGGCTGTTCTTGCAGAGGACTTGGGTTCAATTCCCAACATCCACACGGCAGCTAACAACTGTCCATAACTCCAGTTCCAGGAGCTCCAATGCCCTCTTCTGACCTCTATGTGTACTGCATAACATGGGTATACCTACCTATATGCAAGCAATACTCCTAAAATAAGAATAATAAATAAGATATTTTAAAAAACAGTGAGCTCACACATCGAGGAGCTTCCTGGGTCAGATTCCCTGAGGGTCAATATTAGAGAGAATAATGTAGGTAAATAAATTACCTTGAAAGTACCTTTTCCCAGCTCCAAAGCTGTGCCCCACTGCTTATATCAGAAAGGGACTCTATGTTCTAGAAAGGAACCACAAAGGAAAATGTTTCAAAATTCTGTACAAGACCATAACTGTAAAAAGTAAGAATAAAATTATTATTATTCTATTTATTTAAGTATTATGCAGCAAAGAAAGCAACTGAGAAATAACTGTTTAAACTTTAGTATTTTAATACTATAGAAAAGAACATTAAAAGGTAAAAATGAAAATTTGCTCTTAAAATACTCATAGACCTCTATATAGTATCTTAAACATGTGGCTCAAATACATATAGTCATTAATTATGTCTATGATTTTTTTTGAGACAGGGTCTCCCTGTGGCCCTGACTGGCCTAGAACTCACTCTGTAGATCAGGCTGGCCTTGATCTCAGAGAGCTGCCTGCCTCGACCTCCCAAGGGTTGGGACTAAACATGTGAGCCACCCTGCCCAGCTACCATCCTTTGTTTGTATTCATTGCCACCTTTCACCTGTTTTCACAGATCCCTATAGTAAGCTTGAGTTATCACTGCCATAACCAGAGACCTCAGAGGTGACTGTGAGATGGGCAAGGTATCACGGACTCAAACAAAAACATCTGTGTATCTCAAGAGATGACAGCCTTATCAGAAAAAAGAAGAGGCAGTGAAAGAGCACAGCACCAGGTAGAAACTGTTAGCATGGATCTGGTCATGGCATTTTATGCTTTCATCTTGAAAGACACTGTATTTTAACATGGTTCCTTATGCTTAAAAATAAATTTTTATCACTTATAAAGATCCCTCTCTGCAAGGGGAGGTGTGATTCAAATTTGAGAAATTCAATCTCTAATATAAAATTCAGCTTTTATAGGATGATGGTACTTAAGCAGACATTCTTAAAATATGCTGCATGGAAATGAAAAGTGTGGATACTGGGGGAAAGACACAAGGGTGAACTGAGCTGTTCTGGAAGACACAGCCGCTAAGGCAGAGCAGTGCCACTCGTCATACTTTCAATTTATTTGTTTTGGTAAGCCTTAAAAGGGAAAGAAGAAACTGTTCCTTAGAAAGAAATAAATCAATAAAGTAATAAAGGCGTGAGGAGCTGCCTTCGTCCGATTCCCTGAGGGTCAGCAAGACAAGGGCTTCCAACCCTGTCCTACCCGAAATCCCTGCTCATGTGGGCTAAGAGCCCTAGAATGCCAAGAGAAAAGTACAGTAGATGGTGAGAGAAAGTTACACAGCAGCAGAGGCAAGAGATTGCTACATCATATTTGCCTGGCTGGCTTGCAGCAATGCAAGGCCATGGGAACTCCTCTCAGCCATCTGCAAGGAAATTTCCAACCTGAACTACTCTGGGTCACAGCTCAGTGACACTGAGGGTTCTGGAAGGTTTCCATACCAGCCAGAAAACCTATCATTAAAAAAGCTGGAAGGGAAATCTCAAGTCCCAAACATTGCATCAGAAGTAAGTACTTGGGAATGCTGCCCATTCAAAAATGGAGAAGTGCTCTGGGAGCTCTCTCCAGCAGACCTGATACACAAAGCCCAGTCTGGCACAGACCTAGAAGGGCAGACCCTCCACCACTTCCCAGTCCCAGGAGCCCTCTGTAGCTGGCCCACCCACCACACTGGCAGAGACTAGCCTCCCCTTCTCCCCAATTTTAACCTACCTCATCCTCCTCCATCTCCTCCAAACCACCTAGCCCACTGCCCATTCCCAGGCTCTGGCCCAGTGGGCTAAAAACACACAGTGGAAGACACAAACTTTGCACCACATGCCCAGGTCTCATCAGAAATATAAACACCAAACACAGGTGCACACAATTTCATAAAACAAACACTACTAGATGTAAAGTTACAAATTAATCCCAATACAGCAATTATGTGGGAATTCAATACCTCACTCTCACCAATAGATAGGTCATCCAGCAAAAAATAAAGAGAAACAGTGGAGTTAAATGAAGTCATAAATCAAATGGACCCAAACAGCTACAGAATGTGCTGCCCAAACACTGAAGAATATACATTCTTCTCAGCAGGCTGTGGAACTTTTTCTAAAACAGATCACATTCTAGGACACAAAGCAAGCCTTAACAAATATAGGAATATTGAAATAACTTCCTGTATTCTATTTGACCACAATGGAATAAAGCTAGATATTTACAGCCAGAGAAACTACAGAAAATACACAAACTCATGGAGACTAAACAGCAGTACTGAGTGATGACTGGGTCACTGAGGAAATCAAGAAGGAAGTAAAAAGTCATAGAATTGAATATGAAATGAATTCCAAAATCTATAGGCTACAATGGAAGCAGTCCTAAGAGAAAAGTCTGCAGCACTAACTGCCTCCATCACAAAATTTGAGGTCTCGAATAACATGATGAGGCACCTTAGGCTTCAGAAAAACAAGAACAAACCAAACCCAAAGCAGCAGATGGGAAGGAATAATTAAGATCAGGTAGAAATTAATGAAATAGAAACAAACAAAAACAATATAAAGAACAAATGAAATGAAAAGTTGGGTGTTTAAAAAGATAAACAAGACTGACAAGCCCTTAGTTAAATTAACTAAAAGAGAGAGAACACCCAAATTAATAAAATTAGAGATGAAGAGGGAGATATTACAACAGGTACCAAATAAAATTCAGAGACAACAAGAATGTGCTATAAAAATGTATATGCCAATAAATTAGAAAATCTAAAATAAATGGATATTCTAGATACATATGAACCACCAAAAATAAACAAAGATGAAAAAATTTAAGCAGATCTAAAACCAACAATGAGATTCAAGCAGTAATGTCTTGTGACTGGAAAAAAAAAAAAAAAGACCAGGAACATATAACAGACATTCATAGAAGAATTAGCACCATTACTATGCAGATTGTTGTGTAAGACAGAAAAGGAAAGAATTCTTCTGCTCCCTGTTTGGTTTCTGTTGCTGTGATAAACACCAAGACCAAAAGGAACTTGGAAGAGAAAAGCTGTTTATTTGGCTTACAGGTAACAGTCCATCATCAAGGGAAGAAGGCAAGTCAGGAACTCCAGGCAGGAACTTGAAGCAGAATGGATAGAGGAAAGCTGCTTGCTGGCTTGCTTCCCCTGCTTCTGCTCAGCTTCCTTTCTTATACAGCTCAGGCCCACCTGCCCAGGAGTTGCTCTGTTCACAGTGGGCCCAGCCCCTCCCCCAACATTTAGCAATCAAGAAAATGCTCCACAGATACGGCCATAGGTCAATCTGATGGAGATAGTTCCTCAACTGAGGCTTCCTTTTCCCAAGTTTATCAAGTTCACAACTATTGCTTCCAAACTCTTTAGGAAGCCGGTATTACTTGGATACTAAAAACCATACAAAGCATGACATGAGAGAAAATTCTAGACTGATCTCACTGATGAATATAGATACAAAAATTCTCAATAAAACTTTTGCAAACTGAATTCAACATCACATCAAAAAGATCATTCATCATGATCAAGTTGGCTTCATTCTAGACTACAGGGATGGTTCGGCATATGTATATCAATTGTAATCAATATGTAATCAACAATATGTATATCAATGTATATGTGTATCAATAAATGTAACTCATCACTCAGATGAACTCAAAGACAGAAATTACACAAATTATTAGATGTAGAAAAGACCTTTGACAAAACCCAACATTCCTTCATAATAAAAGTCATGGAAATTAATCCCAGAACTCAGGAGACAGAAGCAGGTGGATTTCTGTGAGTTCAAAGCCAGGCTGGTCTACATAGTGAGTTCTAGGTCAGCTGGGACTACAGGTAGAACCTATCTCAAAAAGACCCCCCCCCAAAAAAAAGTCATGGAGAGACTAGGGATGCAGGGTACATACATACTTCAACATAAACCTATAGCCAACATTATGTCAAGTACAAACTAGTATTGTCACTTTGGAAATCAGTCTGAAGTTTCCTCAGAGACTAAAAGCAGAACTGCCATATGGCCCAGTCATAACACACCTGGACATATACCCAAAGGAATTTATATCCGACTTGAGAGACGCATGTTCATTGCAGTTCTATTCACAAAGGCAAGGAAATGGAATCAGCCTAGATGCCTATCAACTGGTGAATGCACGATGAAAATGTGGTACATATACACAATATAATTAATTCAGTTATAAAGAAAAATTAAATGATGACATTCACAGGTAAATAGATGGGATTGAAAAAAATTATACTGAGCAAGGTAACTAAGGCCTGGAAAGACAAGTACTGCATGTTCTTTGTCATATGTGGAGCCTAGCCTTGATTCTTTAGCTTTGTATGTTTAACTTGGAGTACCTCCAGAAACCAAGAGACTAGAAATAGGACAGTGGTAGTAGGGTCATCTTAAGGAAAGAGTAGCACAGAGGTAAAATGAATGTGGAGAGAGAGAGAGAGATACTGGGGACAGAATCATGGAGGGGATAGGAGTGGAAGAGATGAGGGGACAGGAGAGGTAGGTTAACCAAAATGAAGGTGTATGAAAAAGCTACATGGAAAACTACTATCTTATAAACCAATTAAAGAAAAACATAAAAGAGAGTTTGAAGGCACATACCCCCAAAACTAGATAATTAATTTAACTGGTCCTAAACACAATGGGTCACTAAACAAAAACTCCAGTGATGTGGGATACTTCCATAGGGGTTGTTGGTCAAGGAGGTCCCAAAAGCCCCCAAAACAATACAAGCTCTTGTCATTACTCATTTGTACACCAGAACTAGTGGATAAGCCCCTATGGCTGAAGACACCATACACTTCATATGCAATACATAGAGAAATTGAGCTATGACTGTATTGGAAGCTTTGTCCTTGCTGGCTAACTTTTATAGTGTTAGATGGTGCTATGCAAGTTGCTGGGGGAGTAAAGGCATGAACATTCTGACCCACCTGTGAACTCTATGAACTACAATACTAATCTGCAAGATGTGCCCACTAATACAATGATGGGATGATTGTTATGGGGATAACCAATCACTCTCTGATTGTATCCGAGGCCTGCTCCACAAAAGGGAACTCATGCTTGGTACTGTAAACCCAGACAC